TATATATATATATATATATATTAAAAAAAATTAACTTTATATGATAAAAAATAGTTTTCTCAAATAAAAGCTAATGTAAGAGTTACACACTCATGTATAACAATATACACTTACTTACATTAATATAAAAAAATAATATTATTAAAAAATTAAATATTTTTTATATGTCATTTGCAATATTTTAAATAAATAGCTATGAAAATAAAGAAAAGGAATAGACGAAAATACCATTATCATATTTTATAATTTCTATTTTTTTATTTTATATAAACATTATGTAAAACGTTAAATTATAGTGATAAAATGTCAAAAATATTAGTAATTTAATTTTTATATTAAAAATTTATTTATTTAATTATATCAATAATATAATATGGATATTATATTCTTATTATATTATCTATATCTATTATAAAGAAAATAATTTTGATAATCATCTTTTTTAATTTCATTTTTGTACTGAATACTATTATTTATAGATTTAGTCAAATTTATTCTTTTAAAAATTTTCAAAAATAAATATATAGGGAACAAAGTCCCAGTTTCCCGACTAATATAGATAAATAAATTTTTTAAGTTTAACAGATTTTTTTATAAATTATAACCTAATATATTCAAATAAATTGATTTTTTTAAAAATCTAAATTTAATCTTTTCATTAAATAGATTAAATCAGACTTTAAGTAAGATAAATTATAACCTCCTATTTAAAATATAGTTTATTCATATCCTTACTCATATATAAGTAAAAATATTTAAATTCACATATATTAAAAAAAATTAGTCAAATTTATTTAATTTTATTGATTTGATATAAAAATTAAACTTTATTTTAAAATTACTCTTAATAATATTTATTAGAAATAATAAAATATTTTTAAATAATATCATTAAATAAAATCAACTTGGTTATAATTTATTTATATTTAAATCTACAAATTATAAATATTTTTTTTTACTAATACATGACTTCGAGAAAATAAATGCTAAAGATGTTTAAAACCTTTTTATATATAAAAAAAGAAAAGTGTAAAACTTTGTTTCTAACTTTTTAATTTTTAATTGATGTAAAAACTCTTTAATTTTTTATTAAAATAATTGTTAAAAAAAGTTTTTGTTAGAATAATTTAAGAGTATTGTTTTATTAACTTTATAACTTTCTTACTATTGGTTTGTAAATAAGAAGAAGTCTACGTGGCGAAATATGATTGGCTTCTATTACATCATTTTTTTTCAATGTTATTCGTAAATTTGGATATTTAATATTAAGACAAAAAAGAATTTTGGAAGTCCCCGGCGAGAGCGAAAGACTGGAGGGAGAGAGGTGACCGACAATTTTTTTCCATCCCAACCCTACCAACTCAGACCCCTCAATCCCAATAGGTACCTTATTTCTTCCAATAAGGCTTTTCAATTTCTTCCTCACCTTTTATTTTTCTCAAAATTTTTAATTCCACATAGATCTGATTCCAAGTTAGGGCTTTTCTTGTATGGGTTTTCAATTTGAATGTTGCAAATCCTTCGTAACTTTAATGTTTATTTCGTCTGTTTGATTTATGGAACATTCAAATGCGTATATGTATGACACATTAATTGCAGGTTTAATTTATAAATTGGGTTTTCAGATGTTGATTCTATGATTACCCTATCTTTATGCAGAGAAAAATCATGAGGCTCAAGACTTATGCGGGCCTTAGTTTGATTGCAACTTTGGCTATTATTTATCATGGATTTAACAGCAGGGGCCAGTTTTATCCGGCAATGGTGTATCTCTCGACTTCCAAGATCAGTTTGGTGCTTCTTCTCAACATGGGTTTGGTCATTATGTGCATTTTATGGCAATTAACCAAGAAGGTGTTCTTGGGTTCCCTTCGTGAGGCAGAGGTTGAGAGGCTTAATGAGCAATCGTGGAGGGAGGTCATGGAAATCCTCTTTGCAATTACTATTTTTAGGCAGGACTTTTCTGTGACATTTCTTGCCATGGTAACAGCGTTGTTGTTGATTAAGGCTTTGCATTGGTTGGCTCAAAAGAGAGTCGAGTACATCGAGACGACTCCTTCAGTGCCCATGTTGTCACATGTTCGAATTGTATCTTTCATGGGTTTCCTCCTTCTTCTAGATAGCCTTTTCTTATACAGTTCTTTGAAGCATTTGATAGAAACTTGGCAGGCTTCGGTTTCACTGTTCTTTTGTTTTGAGTAAGCGGTCTTCCTTTTTCTCCTCCCTAATGTATTAGACGAGATTAAGAATCCCTCAAGTCTTTTCATTCTTTGACTTTGATTTGACTCAGTCATGCATTAATCCAATTAGGCCATGTTGATAAATGAAATTTCACATCTTGGTTAAACTCTCAAAATTGCTTGTTTGACAATGATAACTAAAGGATTGGAGGGAAGAAATTGTAATTTCCTGTCATGTAATGGAGCTCTTCATTTTTTTGGAATACTATCACGTAGTTAAGACTGAAATATGTAAAAGGAAAACTTATTCTAGAATAACATCATCATAGTTGTTTGGCATAGGGTATCGGAATATACATTAAACCATACAACAGCGCTTACAATTGATAAATTCGTTGAATTATTTATTATTGATGCACTGGCTGCATTATTTTATTTCGTATTAATAGCTTTAGATTAATACCGTCAAATAAAGAGGATTTTACAAGTGATACCTAATAAATTGTTATTATTTGTAGCTATTACTCATATAATAGCTTAACTTATTTATCTGTTTACAATTTATATTAGATATTAAATTATATAATACCTACATGGATTATGGATCATAGACAACATATTTGTACTAATCAATAAGCGTGCTAACTAGGAATATATCCATAATAATTTGCAGCTTCACATGTACATGCCATTTGTTGCATTTTTTTAGCGTTGTAGTTTTGAAATGATATACTTGAGTATTTTATTTGAGAAGTTATCTGTTTCTATCTCAGGTACATGATACTGGCAACTACAACTGTGTCAATATTTGTAAAATATCTCTTCTACGTCAGTGACATGCTAATGGAGGGACAGTGGGAAAAGAAACCAGTCTTCACATTTTACCTGGAACTGATTAGGGACTTGCTTCACTTGTCTATGTACATGTGCTTCTTCCTTGTAATTTTTGTGTAAGTGATCAGTCAACTCTTCTTTTGTATGTTATGGTAGCCTTCATATAGTCTCTGTTTTTGTATGCCTCTCATTGACACCAATGCATTGAACCATTGGATTGCACTTAGAAACAGGTTAAATCATAATTGACAATGATGTTTGTAGTTTCTGTTACATTAACATGCATACATTTGGTTCATTTGTTTTTCATGGTCATGATATTTTGGTTAGATTACATTAACATGCATACATTTGGTTCATTTGTTTTTCATGGTCATGATTTTTTGGTTAGATTACATTAACATGCATACATTTGGTTCATTTGTTTTTCATGGTCATGATATTTTGGTTAGATTACGGATTTAACGTTCACAGGTTATATTTTTCTCCTATACTAACTTTAGTTGATTTACTAGAAACTATGGTATTCCCTTGCACCTAATACGGGAGCTGTATGAGACGTTTAGGAACTTCAAAGTTCGTGTTGCAGATTACATACGATATCGTAAAATTACTTCAAATATGAATGATCGGTTTCCAGATGCAACCCCTGAAGAGCTTAATGCGTGAGTTTTAAACTTGGTATAGTATCTCTCGCTAATTAAATATTGATGCATATTAAATATATATTTAAATGGCTATGCAGAAGTGATGCAACCTGCATTATCTGTCGTGAGGAGATGACTACCGCCAAGAAACTTATATGTGGGCATCTTTTTCACGTTCATTGTCTCCGATCATGGCTGGAGCGGCAGCATACTTGTCCCACCTGCAGAGCCTTGGTTGTACCACCAGAAAATGGAACACCTGTAGCTGTAGGGCAGCAAGGATCACAGTCAGACAGTCATCGTCAGGGTAAGAACATGATAATCACTCAGTATAGTTTAATAGTGTTCATGAAACATGTTGATATTTACATGATGTCGGAAATGAACTGATATTATTTCCAGAGATAGTCTTCGGAAATAAAAATGGAAAAATAAACACTTTTGCTATCTGCACCTTCCGTCACATTCTTTTTTTAAATCATTTTATTTTTACTATTTATTTTTGTAATGCACAATTTATATTTTATTCACATGTGAAGATTTTCTCATTCCTTTTTTAATGTTTTGTGTGAATCTCCTAAGATTCTAGATTTTTTTTACACGTATCAGTTAACTTTTAAAACCTTGTTTTATTTTAATTTTTGGTGATTATGTTGCCTACCTGAGCCCAATACAATCGAACTGTTTAAAATATTTTGAAATGTGAATGTAATATCTGTAAGATTAAATAAACATGTTACATTATTACCCCTTGTAATTTTAAACACTGACTTTGCTTATGTTTGTTCAGTTTATCATGTAATATTTGTTTATTTTTACCTGGAACAGGAACTGGGACAGGCACTGGAAGTGCAGCTCAAACTGAGGCTACTGATAATGTGAGTCGACATCAAGCCAGACTCCAAGCTGCTGCTGCTGCAGCTTCAATATATGAGAAGTCTTATGTGTACCCCTCTGCAAATTCTTTTGTGTGGTATGGCATTTCTGCTTCAACAATATTGTAGAACGTCTTAGTCAATCAGTCTTGTGCTGTGTATATTGCTGGTTATTGATATTTTAGCACACATGCATCTTCTAAAACCAGAAATGATGCATGAATGCTGAATTTGCTGGATTCACAATTGGATGTTAGAGTTTTAGAATATTATCTTAAAAAGTAACTTTAATGAGTATACTTCATTGAGAGTTGTTTTAGGGCTTGGCACTTGCTTGGTGAGGTTCCTTCTATTTAATTGTAAAATGGTAGTATTCTAAAGCATTTTTGGTGGGAAAAAAAATAGACAAATGTAGAGTGTGATGGGTTCTCAGTTTTACGTGTAAAATTGTAAATAGAATAATAGGAAACAAAACCGTAAGATAGAGAATTGGTAAAGGGTTCTTTTATTTTGATGAACAGAAAGGGAACTCAAGGCAAAATCCTCTTACAAGGGAAAGTCCTTTTCAACATACCTTGCTAAATCAATTGCTCTAATCACCTTACCACCCAAAAATATCCTTATAGTTGCTTCTCAGTAGTTGACTAGGCTTGAAGCCCCCAAATCTTGGATATATTCTTCCGCAAAACTTGTTTGATATAGAGTGGTTAACCTTTCTCATACATTTCCAAACTCCATCTTCCAAACCTCCAAATCAAAGCTGAAGTAAAACTCTCTCAATCCTATTCTAGAGTTTTTTAAACACGGGAATTTGAACCAGTGCATCACATTCCCCTCCATACTAATGAAAGCCAATTGCATTTTCTCAGTTGGCTTCATTTGCCGCAACTTGAAAAATTTCTCAGCCCTTGCTATTCACCTCAAGGGGTTGCTGCTAGCAAAGCTAGGTAGCTACACCTTTCTAGGTTGTTCATTTTTGGGCTCATCCTCCAATTCAATACCTTGTTGTTGCATCCACTTTCCCAAAAGTTCCTTGATGTCACCCATCCCTTCCATGCATTTCTTGATATCTGGAAGTTGAGTGCCATGATCACTAGCCACTTTATTTAAAAACTCCACTGAACTCTCCAATGCTTCATCCATTTCAGCCAGTTGATGATGTAGCAAGTTGGATCAAATTGATAGGTCTCAGTTTATGTTTAAATAAAATAATAAGAAATGAACAGATAGGCAGGTAGAGAAATGAGAAAGGAAGGGTTCTATTATTCAGATGAACAGAAAGGGAACTCAAGAGGCAGAATCCTCTTACAAGGGGAGTTCCCTTATATCTAAGAATGACAGTTTTTATTATTTTCTCCCTGGAAGCTTTCCTATGAAATTTGTTATATTGCATTTTCACTCATTATTCTTCCTCTTAGTTAACCATTTGCTAAGATGACTGATTAACAAAGCAAAACACCAATTTAGTCATCTTACTTTTGTATTTAAGCATCAGATAATTTTTTTTAATACTGAATTAGTCTATAAAGCGTTTAATTGACAAGGCCTGTTTCTCAAACTCAGCTCTCCTGGATACACTCTTTATCCCCCGGTTCAAATACCTACTGCAGAATCTGCTAGTACAGATCGTAGTGGAGAGCAAACTTCCAGTGAACAAGCATTAAGACAGTTTCTTATCCCTGGTGGACCAACAAATGTATCCTTTCCTATGATGCAACAATTCCATTTTCTACCTTCTCAAACATATGCAGCCCCTGTGAATTATGGAGAGGGGTTTGAGAATGATCCAAACATCCCAAGCTCTCCGCTGGAAGCTCAAAAAAAACTTCTTCAATGCCAGATTCAGGTATGCGGGACTCTATTTTTTCTTTACCCACACACAATAAGTAATGTTTAATTTTGGTTTTACTTGAATATAAAGCGTCGCATTGATGATTATGGTTATCACCGTAAGTATTCCCTTCTCGTGTATGCTAAATTCTGCCATCCCAAAAAGGGACATTTTACTGATGTTAGTTATAAATAACTATCACAATTAGGCTTTTATAAGCATTGAGACATAACAAATGAATGCATACAAATAGGTTTCCACTGCAACAATGAAGTTAATAGTAGTAACTAACAACAAATCCTCCCGCTTAGCAGATTCTGCAAAATCAGCTCGAGATTCTGCAGAGGACAAAGGCTGATAAAAGTGTAGATGAGGGTACATCCTCATCAGATAGCAGAGGCAAGAGTATCGCTTCCTCATCATCCGAATCTGGTAATGGTTATCGTGAGGTGATTCAAGATGGAAAAGCATGAAATTGTCGGGTTTATTTCTTGTTTTTGCCATGAGACTGCCAAATGTAGATATAGGAAAATACAGAAATCACAGCATTGCTCTAATGTGACATCTGTTATTCGTGATAATACTAATCTTGTAAATGCATAGTGCCCCTTGAAATTGATTTATTTTGGTTTTTATTGCTTTCTATGTGGATTGCACGCATGTATTAGTTTTTACGGAATTTACCTTTTGAGCAGAAAGTAGGGATTTATTGTTTGAGGCTTATTGTTTTTCCCTTTACAGTGGGGATTTCTCATCAATGTTTGAGGTTTATTGTTTTTCTTTAAAAGTGCGGATTAACTCTAAAAGAGTCGGTTTATTTTTTACCGATTAGTAAAAATGTTACTAAACCATTACTATTTTAGCCAGTGAATAAAAAGTGGATGCTCCAAAGCGAAAACTGTATCTATAACTTGTATATGTTGGGTAGAGATTATTTTAAAATACTTACTGAAGGAAAAATAAATAAAATTCAATGGGACTCGTAGCATAACCAAGATATTGTTGATCAGTAGCACAAGTTTTTTTCAGTTGTCTTGACCTTGTATATTGCTAAGCTCGATAGATATCGGTTTTAACATCTTGCATACTCTAATTATTGGGATGGAGCTTGGCCTACTATGGTTCCTCATGAAGGGGGAGACAATGCCTCGTATAAGGGACACCTTCAATCTACATCTTTATAGCTCTATAATGTACGAGTAGAATGTATCGATATGGTTCCATACAACTTCAAACATCCGTTCACTTCAATTTAACAGGTTGTTACTTATCTGCTAACATGACCAAGAACTTCTGCTAACGTATAACACACACTAAGAATACCCATTATGTCCACTTGAGGTTGTTTTTATTAAAGTGTTGATTCAGCTAATGCTTAGGTTTGTTTGTTTCTTGATAATTGATCATTGTTGGACCTGTTAAAATAAGTGATAAGGTCTCAAGCGTAGGACGAAAATAGGTTACGTTGTTCATTGGGAGTTTATTACGTGGTCAGATTGATTTGATCGGGAATCAATACCTTCATGGTGTGTTTGGATGAAGGATTTTACAAATTCAAGGAATTTTAAATTCTTAGTATTTGAATTACTTTGATTTCAATTTCTATCATTCTTAAAATATTTTGTTTGGATAAATCAATTCAAATTTTTAAATTTTAAATTGTTAAGATGGATATAATAATTTGGTTCTACCATGGTAAAATTAATTTTAAAAATATATTTATATGTTGAGATTTTTAAATTAAATTTCATAAAAATAAATATTAGCTAATTTTTAAATATTTAATAATTTTAAAAATTAATATTAGATAATATTTAATAATTTTAAAAATATTTTTGAATATTCAATAATTAAAAGAATGAAGAGATAAGATAAAATATATAGGTGAAATAAGAAAAACAAATATGAGGAATTTCAAATTGTTAAATTTTTGGGAGAATTTAAAATTTTACTATTTTAAGGAATTTCACAAATGCTTGAATTTCAAATTCTTTGTAAATTCCCCATCCAAACAAAACATTTCACCTCAAGGAATTTGAAATTCTTCAAATAAATGAATTACCCTATATAAATTCCTCATCCAAACATACCATCAAGAGCTTGGTTTAATTGCTACATCATTTGTAATATTAACTCAATCCTACCATCATTATATCGCTATTAAAACCATATTAAATCACAGAGTAAACTAGTTTATCAGTCTAAGGCCAACTACGCAGTCCATCTTAAGCCAGATTCTTGACTTTCAACCATGGCACTCTAGCTTTGCGGTTGCAACCAAGGCTTTCATGCATATTATGAGCTACTTGATATTTGTGCATGCTAGCTCGGACTAAGGATCACAAAATAATCTTTATTCGCAAATATTCACGGATAAAATTTGTAATAAATAATATATAAATATTTAAATGGGCATTCGTAGATAACTTAAATGGTATATTCGTATCCCTTATCAACTTGGAATGAAGATGAATATATTAAGGTACCTATCCCCTATATATTCATTAAATATTCATTATAATAAAATGACCTAAATTTCTTTGTTAAAATATGGAACATGTGTTAAATGCAAATAAGATATTACTTAAATTTCTTTTTATTTAGACTTGTGAAATTCAAATATTATAATTTTTTAACTTTTATTTTGAAATTATGGAATTAAATTATTTTAGTTTATTATATTTATTTAAATTTACGGGATTAATATACTTTGACATTTAAATTTAGTTTTTAAATTGAAGAATCTTGATTAATAAAATTATATATAATATTTGAATAATTTAACTTTTAACTTTTAAATTAATATTTTTTATAAAAAAATATTGGAATAAATAGAAATTATTATTAAAGTAGATTTAATATTTGAGAGAGAGAACAAGAGTGAGAGAGAAATGATAGAAACGAGTTCGATTATAATAATTTATTTTTTTAAAGTATTTTATTAATATATTTTATTAATAAGTTATAAAAAGTGTATATATATACACATAATATTTATATTTATTAATTTATATTTGTTTAGTAAAAGAACGTATTATAAAATATTTTAAATTTAGCTATATATTTATAAAAAATACTATTTTTAATTATCATTGTCGAAACATATTTTAAAGTAACTAATATAAACAAATTTAATTATATTTTTTTCTAAGAAGATTAACCATATTTTAAGTGGTTACAAATATCATTGTCTTGTTTTAGTTATTACAAAATATCGTTAATTTTAGATCTTTGACATTTTTATAGTATTTTTTCTAATCTTTATAATTATCTTTAATTAGTTTAGCATAGAAATAATTAACAAAATGAAGAATAATAATGAAGATAATTAAGTAAATAAATAATATTTTGAATTAATATAATTAAATTATTTTAACATGTTTAATTTAATAAGTAATATATTTATTGTTTGAAGCAAATGAAATAATTAAAAAAACTATAATTTATTTTAAATTTTAATATATAAATAGTGATTTTTATTGTATTTATTATTGCTCTTAGTACTCAATTTGTTAATCTATTAATGTTGTACTTTCTTCAAAAAAAAAAATTTACTAGTCAATTTGTTAATATCTTACTTTTATTTTTTTTTTATATTTTGACCCATGAATTTTCATTGATTGTGATATATATATATATATATATATATATATATATATAGCCAACAATGTTTTTGTCTAAAAAAAGTGTTTAATTAAATTATATTTTTTTAGGAAAATTAGTGGATTGAAAAGTAAAAACAACAAGAGTACGAAAAATTATTCTTCATGATATATTTAAAATTAAAACAATTATTCAAAAAAAGTATATGTAATTATTTTATGTATATAAAATAATAGATATATTACTTAATTAAAATGTAAAAAAAAATCAATATCTTAATTTAAAAGATATTTTTTTGGCATAATTATAATAATTAATAATTTTCTTTTTATTAATCATTTTAATACTTAACTAACTAAATTTAACCACAAGGAATTAAGAATTAAAAAAATTAAATCTAAATGATATAAAAATGAAAAAAAATTACAATAACTAAAACAAGATCGAACTACATTTTTAAAGATTTAAAGCATATTTAACTCTAAAAAATTGAATATAAGTAGTAATATATAATTTTTAATGTCCTTACTAATTATAAAAATATATAATAAATAATATTAATGAAAAAAAATTAATTTGTCATTAAGTCTAACTATATGATTTATATCCAACATTATTATAAAGTTCCAGTTTTGTGATTAGTGTTTGTTCAACTCTCCTTAAAGAATCTATAAATTTTATATTTTATTTTTAATATTCATAAAATATATTTTAAAATAAATTAATTAAATAAAAATATAGATCGATCTGGTAAAAGAAAGTTTGGGTAATATACCAAAAGTCTTAAATTTTTATTTTATTGTTGTTACTATACATATATAAAAAATAATGAAATAGACTACTGTATACATTACATATAATAATTTATTTTTAATTTCTATTGTAAATTATTAATTAAAATAAAATATTGTAATTTTTAAAATTTAAATACATATTACCTTTGGTTTTGATATACATAATATACATAATATCGAATAGTCGTCAAAAAAAAATTAAAGTGACTAATTTTAAAATATTTTTTTACTATAATTATTAGTATAATATTTATATATATGTATAACTTTTTTTTATCATTTATTAGTTTTCAAATATATATTGTTCATAATAATATACGTACATAGTATTAAGTTTTCTGATAGTTATTTTTATTATATAAG